CTGGCGAGGCGTTAGATAAGAAATTGCTGTCAACTGACGGTTGACAGTTGACAGCGAACTGTCAAGAGCCAGCTAGCACTAGGCTACACTCTTCCATCTTGTAGACCAAGAGAGACCGCGCAGTATGCTGCCCCAACCATCGCTCGAACACAAATGATTGGTAAGCTGCAGTGTGTGACAATTGGTACATAATTAAGGTGTTTCACCTTACCAAACGCTATATATCCGATTATACAAAAAACTGATATCCGAGGCATATATATCCGCACATCTCCTGTGCCAGGTGAGTACGAAGGGGTCACCATAGCCCGTGCTGCTTGGAACTTTTTCTTCAGAGTAGGTGAATCTAAAACAACAACAACAACTGGTATCCACTTGAACTCACTTCACAAAAGCCTTGACGGAAATTTTCAGCTTGTATAATATATATATATATATATATATATATATATATATATATATATATATATATATATATATATATATATATATATATATATGTATACATATATGTTATTAGTATATTTTGGTAGCAGTCTTTCCTGTAGACATATATTATTAAATATGACCGAAAAAGTAAGATTAATAATTCTAACACGAATTTTCTCAATATTTCTTATGCCCCAACTTTACTTTTTTCTTTTCACTGTTGATGGTAATTGAAAAATCAATTCTCCAAAATTAATTTTTATTTCTAGTCGACACTTTAACGCGTTTCGTAATAACTTATTACATTTTCAAAGACTTTTAGTTTACACACACACAACTATAACCTGCAAACACTAAACAGAGTTCTTACTATGCTATGATATAAACAGCTTTCATTTTATTTTATACCCGCATTTTGGGTGAGGTGATATGTTACAACAGTTTTGGATGAGGTGAACAAAACTTTCAACACAGGACAGAACACGAAACAATGGGTATTAATTAGGTAAATTGAAGGTAAGAATGGAAGTATCTGCAGAGAAACTATTGGCCCATATTTCTTGATGCTTCAATATTGGAGTGGAGTCTTGAAGTGGGTAGAATATAGTTGTGCATTAATTGGCTGTTGATAGCTGGTGTTGACTTCTTGATGTGTAGTGCCTCGCAGACGTCAAGTCGCCTGCTATCGCTGTATCTATCGATGATTTCTGTGTTGTTTGCTAAGATTTCTCTGGTGATGGTCTGGTTGTGGGAAGAGATTATATGTTCCGTAATGGAGCCCTGTTGCTTATGCATCGTTAATCGCCTGGAAAGAGATGTTGTTGTCTTGCCTATATACTGAGTTCTTTGAGGCTTACAGTCCCCAAGTGGGTATTTGAAGGCATAGACGACGTTGGTTTCTTTTAAAGCGTTCTGCTTTTTGTCTGGAGAGTTTCTCATGAGTAGGACGGCCGTTTTTTTGGTTTTATAGTAAATCGTCAGTTGTATCTTCTGATTTTTGTCTGTAGGGATAACGTTTCTATTAACAATATCTTTCAGGACCCTTTCCTCTGTTTTATGGGCTGTGGAAAAGAAGTTCCTTTAAAATAGTCTAATAGGGGGTATAGGTGTTGTGTTAGTTGTCTCCTCAGAGGTTGCATGGCGTTTCACCTTCCTTCTTATGATGTTCTCAACGAAACCATTGGAGAAGCCGTTGATGACTAGGACCTGTCTGATATTATATGAGAAAAACGGTCATAATTACGCTTCCAGGTATGTCGTATGTTATTGATAATTTTTTTTTCTATAATCTTGTCTGTAACATATAAAGAGAGACAATCTACTTTGTAAATTAGTATGACACTCAGAAGGTTGGCAAACCCAAGTTACCTATAACATTTGCTGGTCTGTTTACATGGCAACATTACACTCAACTTGTGATTGAGGCTTCGATGGTTAGATACTTACAAATATTGTTATTGTAGTTCTAATGTAGCGTCCGTAAGCCTAGAGCCCTCCACGTGATATATTGGCGAATATCGCAATATTATCATTTGAAGAAGATCATTGACAGATCATTTGGGAAAGATCCTCATGGAAATATATACAGATAATTGAAATGGCTTCACGTCTGAGGTCTTAGTACATCAAACAATATTTGCACTCCTGTCACACGTAATAATTATCACATATAATTTGTTACTCCACTTTGATCATATCTGTAAATATTAAATCGCATATTTGTAGAAGGAGGAGTCGCATCTTCCCTACTGAATTTTTTTGGTTTAGTATAGACCATAAGCGAACATCTCTCAGAAATTCATGTTTAATAATGGAGAGCTTCTCCTCCCTCTCCCTATCGTATTTGTTCATCATATTCCTTGAGCCTTGACCCTGAACAGCGTGATATGCGTCCCCTACACCTGCCCCGACTCATAGAGCCGACTCGTCGGGTCGACTCATCGGGGTTGACTCATCTGGTCGACTCATCGGGTCGCTTATTACACTGATCCCATTGAAATTCCGTGGCAGTTGCCGAAGCCCGCCTGCTACCTCATCCAGGCTCTAACCCCTTTTTATCTGCTTTGAAGAGTACATGTCGGTGCTTCGCCCCTTGATTAAAGAGCAAGAGGCAGCGGTGGGGATTGTGGAGGAATGATTTGGTAATGGTAGTTGTGGTAGGAGAATAGTGGTTGCAGCAATGTTTGTGGTAGAATTTGGGGATAATGTTATAGGTGTGGGAAATATATGGTTAAGCTAAGGGCTCTGTGTTAATGGGCTCAGCTGTTGGTTGTGGTAAGAGGCATGTTAAGTTGTGGTGTCTGGTGTGGCGGTATAGCTCTCCGGCTTCCACTTATGTTCTCTTGTGTTCTCTATCACCCAGACTTATAGAGCCTGCCCTTGTCCGTCCACCTTGTATATTTATGTGGAAGTTATCTGGAGATGATTTCGGGGTTTAGGGTTCCCGCGGCCCGGTCCTTGGCCAGGCCTCTTTTTTTGTTACACGCCCCCAGGAAGCAGCCCGTAGCAGCTGTTTAATTACCAGGTATCTATTAATTGCTAGATGAACAGGGCCATCAGGGTGAAAGAAGCTCTGCTTATTTGTTTCCGCCTCCGCCAGGGATCGAACCCGGAATTTTAGGACTACGAATACCGAGCGCTGTCCACTCAGCCATCAGCCCCCCTCGGTATCTGGGATGTTGTGATCATATCCTTTCTGTTTATTCAATCCTCTCGGGTTGTAAGATCTAGTTACAGTACCAATTTAAATCTTTATCCTGTTAGTTCAGGCACCAATCGTGTTGCATATTGGATCAAAAATTAAGTTTTTGCAGATTGCCTTTCGAGGAGCCGTTATTTAGTTTTCTAAACGATGTTTTAATGTGTGTCAAACGCTGCTGATCACCTCCCCTTATGTTTACCGCCGGTGTTAGTGTTCAAGTTATCTACCCAATTTTTTTCGTGTTGCGATTCCTTGGTTGCCTCCCATTCATGATGTTTATAAGTTCTGATCTCCTTTTCCCTATTCCCATCGTCATACCCTTATACTTGTTGGGATTGAAGGGAACTATCAGGGGAAAACGCCAAGCTATATAGCACTTGGAAAGGGTCAGGATAAGAATTTGGGATAGGACGGGGGAAGGGAATGGTGCCCAGCCACTTGGACGGTCGGGAATTGAACGCTGATTAATTAATTGGCTGTTGATTGCTGGTGTTGACTTTTTGATGTATGACTACACATCAAGAAGTCAACACCAGCAATCAACAGCCAATTAATGCACAACTATATTCTACCCACTTCAAGACTCCGAACCAATATAGAAGCATCAAGAGGAAGTATGGGCCAATAGGCCCTCTACAGTTACTTCCATTCTTATGCTCTCATATCCAACTAATACCCATTGTTTCGTGTTCTATCTTTTATTTGTCACAAGTTTGTTCACCTCATCCAAAACTGATGCACCATATCACCTCACCCAAAAGCGAGTATAAGTAAGACGGATAAGCTGTTTAGTGTTAGTATAAGTAAGACTCTGTTTATTTTTTTTTTTAGATTTTACGGGCTCACCATAGCCCGTGCTACATGGACACTTCGTCCTGAGTAGCTAAATCTTTAACAACAACAACAGTGTTTTCAGGTTACAGTTGTGTGTGTGTAAACTAAAGTCCTTGAAAATGTAATAAGTTATTACGAAACGCGTTCAAGCGTCGCGTCAGACTAGAAATAAAAATTAATTTTGGAGAATTGATTTTTCAATTACCATCGACAGTAAAAAGAAACATAAGAATTATTGAGAAAATTCGTGTTAGAATTATTAATCTCACTTTTCGGTCATTTCTAACAACATATATATATATATATATATATATATATATATATATATATATATATATATATATATATATATATATATATATATATATATTTCTTCATTTGATGCATCACGTTATTGTGATTTCTGTGTGTGCTGTTGATACGGTTTAGGGATTAATGTGGCACAATTTACCTGACTGAGTAGGATAATATTGGCAAAAACAGGCTGTTGAGTGTTTAAGGCAATGTATGTGTGTATGTGTGAACGAATGTACTCACGTAATTGAGCTTTTGAGGTTGAGCACCACCTTACCATAGAACCATCATCACGCGAGGCCACTGCAATCACTCGTGGCCACTACAATCACTCGTGGCCACTACAATCACTCGTGGCCACTACAATCACTCGTGGCCACTACAATCACTCGAGGCCACTACAATCACTCGTGGCCACTACAATCACTCGTGGCCACTACAATCACTCGTGGCCACTACAATCACTCGAGGCCACTACAATCACTCGTGGCCACTACAATCACTCGAGGCCACTACAATCACTCGAGGCCACTACAATCACTCGAGGCCACTGCAATCACTCGAGGCCAACACGATCACTCGAGGCCAACACGATCACTCGAGTCCAACACGATCACTCGAGGCCAACACGATCACTCGAGGCCAACATGATCACTCGAGTCCAACACGATCACTCGAGGACAACATGATCACTCGAGTCCAACACGATCACTCGAGTCCAACATGATCACTCGAGGCCAACATGATCACTCGAGGCCAACATGATCACTCGAGTCCAATACCATCCCTCGAGGCCAACGCCATCCCTCGAGGCCAACACCATCCCTCGAGTCTAACACCATCCCTCGAGTCTAACACCATCCCTCGAGGCCAACACCATCCCTCGAGTCCAACACCATCCCTCGAGGCTAACACCATCCCTCGAGGCCAACACCATCCCTCGAGTCCAACACCATCCCTCGAGGCCAACGTCATCCCTCGAGGCCAACGCCATCCCTCGAGGCCAACGCCATCCCTCGAGGCCAACGCCATCCCTCAAGGCCAACGTCATCCCTCGAGGCCAACACCATCCCTCGAGGCCAACGCCATCCCTCGAGGCCAACACCATCACTCGAGGCCAACACCATCCCTCGAGGCCAACACCATCCCTCGAGTCCAACACCATCCCTCGAGGCCAACGTCATCCCTCGAGGCCAACGTCATCCCTCGAGGCCAACACCATCCCTCGAGGCCAACGCCATCCCTCGAGGCCAGCACCATCACGCGAGCACTCCACATTCACTAATGGCCGCTATAATCACTCGAGGCCGCCATAATCACAGGTGGTCACAACCCAGCCCCTCCGCCTTAGGTTTCCCAACGTTAAGAAATCAGTCAATTTAAAGTGTAACCTAACCTACCAGAGAACCCAAAACAGAAAACGGGAGAATACGTCACTTTAGCGAGCCGTTTCCAATTTCCTTTATGACATTTTTTGGCCTTAGTTTGAGTATACGTCAAATGCGTCGCTGTATTAGTAGGACAGCTTGCCTATCGCGGCTCTGTCCACTTTAGGGGATACCTCAGTCACGGTTATTAAGCCTTATAGCCTATAAGGAGAGAGGTAAAACCGGCAGCTCCCAGGTCCCCAATCTCTTCATCCACTGGCACTCACTCGGGCTCCCTACTACTGATTTACCCACCACAAAAGTATGTTGCCTAAGATCACCAGTCTGGCTAGCACTTCACTTACTGCCAGATCATTTCTTATAAATCAGTGGTGAATTGCCTCAGCATAAAGTTTCTTAAACGTACTCAGTGTTTTAACTCAGCCTCAGGCAAACAATATGGAGAGTGAGGGTGGGTTTAAGTTCAAACACGATTTATAATATGTATATAGTAGTAGTAGTAAGCATCCATCATGTTTAGGCATTTTTTAGGCATTCCATCATTTTTGTATATAAATGTGTACTAAAAGACTGGTACGCTCGCTTATATAGATAACTGACAGAGTATAGCAACACTCTGCTGTGGAATTCAGTGATAGAACGACAACACCGCTCAACAAATATTATCAGATCACATTAGGCTTTTACTCTACTCAGTATTCTCCAGCAAATAAAACATGTCTTTAATCTTACTCACATTGCAGGTGCCTTAATCTCACCTGAAACAACACAATAATTCTTGATCAATCAAGTACGAGTGAACCAAAAAGTTTACACATATAACTAAATGTATCAATCGGCTCACTCGCAATAAGAAAATCACTCCGTGTTCATAGAACAATTTATATCGACATTCTATCAGACAAAGAGCTTGGAGGGAATTTGATCTACCTAAATACCGTAGAATGTCTGTCACTTCAACCGTCACTGAAGCCAGAACGAGGTTGAAGTAAAAAACGAACTTAGGGGCTCCACCTCCGGATTTTTCCTCGAGGTTGACTCCTGAAGCCCTTCCCATAAGTACGTTTGGCCGCGAGGCAGCGGAGGTTTGAGAACAGGATTTTCCTTTCCCAAAGATGAGCTGCCTTCCCAGGCTGTCGAGAGTCCCATCTACCCGGAGCAGCAGGTTGTAAGGCGCCAGAGGCACGAGCTCGTGCAGACGAGGGCCGGAAGGCCCGCTCCCTGGTACTACTACTCCTGCAGCAGGCTGGTAGCCTCGCTGAGGGCACTGCAGAACATCTCGGGGAAGACTTTCCCCGGGTCCTGTGGACACAAGACCACAAGATGTAGTCGTGTGACCATAGAGGGGCGTGGTTTTGTGTAATTACCACACACAACTCAAATATTATATTAATAATTTCATCATTATTAATATTGTAATAATATATAATAATATTTATATTTAATAATATATAATAATATTTATATTTAATAATATATAATATATATTATTATAATATTAAAAATAATATATTATTGTTAGTAGTAGTAGGCATCCATCAGTCTCAGGAGACTATGGGGTTGCGCTCTGGTTGGAGGACTGGAGTGGCCGTTGCTTCCCTTGCAATAAAAGTCATTAGTGAACCCAGGACTTTTATGTACTCCTTAGAGAGGAATGTGGGTGTACTATACTCCCAAGATAGGGATGGGGTGTACTTTAATTAAATTCGCACTTAAAACTGACGGTTGGAAAAGAAAAAAAAAACTAGTTTCTATAGCAGCTATCTGAGTAGGAGAGCTGCTATAGGAACTAGTGTGTTATTGAGCACTTAACTACTGAAGATAATTAAGATACTTTTACAAGCTCAGGTTATTGTTACATCACATACATTGTATAACTGATGCATTACATAGCAAATTTTGGGACAAGTCCAGTATATTGTAATAATCTTCAACTTAATAATATAATAAAGTGTTCCAGTAGTCATATAGTATTTACAGAGTTCAGTATACCTCCGCCCAGGAGGGCGAAAGTTAGTCACTGCTTTTTGATAAATGTCAAATGTAATTTTTGGTAAATGTGTGGCCACGTCTGTGGTCGAAAATAGTAATAATGATAATAATAAAAATGCTTTATGATAATTACAAAAATAACTTGGGTTAGTTTATTGTCTCAATACCCTTAGAGGGTACACTCTCCCCTTCTCTCAGTTACATGTTCCTCTTTTTGTATAGTATCACCTGCCTCTTTAGCATCTGTTGAGTAATAGGTGGCAAGGCTACGCGGTCATGTCTTTGATGAAACTTCGTTGCACCGGAGTTTTTATCTTTATCTGATTCGCAACATTCCCGAATGTACTGTCGTATTAGAGCAGCAAAAGTAATTTCTACTATGTTTTTTAAATCATCTCCAGAACAATTTGTAGCTAATTTAGCTACCGATTCTAAGTCTATATACGAGTCGACCTCGTATTTTTGGAGGCAAAGTTTTAGTATCTGTCTTCTGGCCTGAAAATTCGGCGCGTTTACATTTAATTTAAGCGGAAAACGGCGTAGGATAGCGGAGTCAATAAGGTCCATGCGATTAGTGGCGGCTATGATAAAGATGAGCTTGTCTGGTTCTCTGTCGAAGTCATTGGTGTTGGTGAGGAACGTTCCCAGCATGTAACCGCGCACCTCACTCTCCCCTCTCTTCGAAAAGAAGGTATCCAGCTCGTCTATAAATATTCCAGCTGGTTGCCTCTTGTAAGCTAGGGTGAAAACCGCGTTGAGAAGTTTCTCCGATTCACCGTGCCACTTGCTCGTGACGAGGGAAGACGTCACCGTTAGCAGGTTTATGCCGCAGCTTTTTGCCACAGCTTCTGCTATCATGGTCTTACCACACCCCGGCGGCCCGTACAGCAGCATGCTGGGTGGATGGTGGCATGGGTTATGAGGGAAGTACTTTTTAAACTTAATAATGCCTGCCACTTGGGTATCGATTTCCTCGAGGATGTCCTCGTGACCTCCGATGGCTTCCCAGGTTGATACTATCTCCTGCGGCGTCTTGAGGCAGCAGAGGAGTTGCCGCTCAAATTCGTTAAGGCCGTCCTCGTCAGAACTCGACTCCTCCGTCGAGGTCAGAGTGGTGTGCGTGCAGCTCTCCTCGGTTACTGAAGACTTGTCCTGCTTCAGGTGGCTCCTCCAGACATCGCAGAGGTCTTGCAGTAGTTGCTTGGGTCCCTCTACCTCCTCCCCATGTAAGTCCTGCAGAAGGTTGCACAGCTTGGACAGGACCTCATCGTGCTGGAGGGCATCACGGCCGTCCGGTATGTGGGGATCTGTGAGATCCCTCTGGATAACAAGGTCTTTCAGGAGGTTTAAGAGGTACCACAAGGCCTTGACCATTATCGTGACCTTCTTGACCTTGGTCTTGAGCGTCATGACCTTGACCTTCAGTGACACCGACATAAAGCGCTTGAGAATCCCCAGAGCCAACGATAAGGCGGCCCCGGCGAGAACAATCTCGACGAACACCAATGCACACTTAATCACTGCTTCAACTTCTGCTCTGTGTGTTTGTACAAATAAGCCGAGTTTTTCCATATCTGAAATATACCTTTAATACAATTTTGGGAGTAAAAAGATAAGAAACCTAAAAAAAAGAGTGGTGCACACAAAAAGGAGATGAAGTACATGTCTCTTCATCAGAGACGGTCTCGCTTCATGCAGGTCGGCGTTCAATCACCGACCGTCCAAGTCGGTGGGCACCATTCCTTACTTCACCGTCCCAACTCAAATCCTTTATCCAGATCTCTTCCAAGTGCTATATAGTCGTAATGGCTTGGCGCTTTCTCCTGATAGTTCCCTTGTTCTCCAAATTACCCCATTACCTCTTTCATATCCCGTCAGCTGCCTCTCGTACAACTGCTTCCCAGTTGCAGGGGGGGGGGGAAATCAGGGACACCGGAGCTGATCAGAGTCTGATGGCTCGGTCGTTGTTACCTGAGGGACACAATGGATTATTGCTCCTGGGAGTGATGAAGGTATGAGGTTCCGGGGCGGAAATGCGCCTTCCACTCCACTAATGCAGCTGGCCTACGGGTCGAAGAATGTAATGCAATGTAATTATGACAAGAAGGCACCAAGCCGGGAAGGCTATGTAGCACCAAGGGTCGAAGAATGTGGCTGTGAGGGGCTGTGTGTGTGCCCGGACAGACCCACAGCAAGAGCACAGGTAGCACCAGGGAACATGACGTGTGTGGCATGACTCTCCTCCCTAGGTTGATGAAGAGTTATCTTGAGTATATCTTGAGATGATTTCGGGGCTTACCGTCCCCCGCGGCCCGGTCCTAGACCAGGCCTCCTTTTTGTTTCACCCCCCCCCGGAAGCAACCCGTAGCAGCTGTCTAACTTCCAGGTAACTATTTACTACTAGGTGAACAGGTGCATCAGGGTGAAAGAAAAATTTTGCCCATTTGTCTCCGCCTCCACCGGGGATCGACTCCAGAACCTCAGGACTACGAATCCGAAGCGCTGTCCACCCAGCTGTGAGGCGCCTAACTTTTAAGTAGCATGAGGAGTCGCGAGTGCCTGACGTGAGGACAGTCTGGAGACAAAAGAGCGTCGGAAATCCTAGGAGACCCGACTGAGGGGGACCTGGCAGTTTCCTTAGGTTTCCTGAGGGGGACCTTGTACTTCCTTAACCAAACCTCACCTGGCGTGAGGTTTGGTTAAGGAAGTGCAAGCTACTAAGAGGGATTGGAACATTAACTACACACCCTGGAGAGGGAAGAGGGAGGACTTACACGTAGCAGGCACGGCTTGGGGAGACCCCTAGACGCCCCAGTGAGAGCGGAGAAAGAACTACTCGCCACAGGGAGGGTTGTGGAGGAACCTAAGTCCCCCAGAGAGGGATAGGGGTGTAATCTACTCCCCAGATAGGGATGGGTTGTACCGTACTCCCCAGAAAGGGATGGGGATGTACTGTACTCCCCAGATAGGAATAGGGGTGTACTGTACTCCCCCTGATAGTAATAGGGGGTGAACTGTACTCCCCAAATAGGAATAAGTGTGTACTGTACTCCCCCTGATAGTAATAGGGGTGTACTATACTCCCCCTGATAGTAATAGGGGGGTGTACTGTACTCCCCAGATAGGAATAGGGGTGTGCTGTACTCCCCAAATAGGAATAGGTGTGCACTGTACTCCCCTGATAGTAATATGGGTGTTCTATACTCCCCCTGATAGTAATAGGGGGGGTGTACTGTACTCCCCAGAGAAGAATAGGGGTGTACTATACTCCCCCTGATAGTAATAGGGGGGTGTACTGTACTCCCCAGAGAGGTATAGGGGTGTACTGTACTCCCTAGATAGTAATAGGGGGTGTACTTTAATTAAATTCGCACTTAAATTAAAACTGAAGGACGGAAAAAATATACAAAATAAACTGACTCAAAATTGATTAAGATTGACGGGCAAACTGTGGTAATAGACGAGCATTAGAAGGCTCTTACGACGGCGTGAGTGATGGACAGCTGGTGTGAGAATCACGCTGGGTGAAAAGTGTGAGGGGAGAGCGGTGAAGGGTGAGGGGCGGGAGGTGAACAACGAATGCGGATATGGGTCACTTCAGCGATTGTTTCGGGAGGAGGATGAAGGGTGAGGATTAGCAGGGTGAGGACCAGTGGAGAGACGTCGTGTCGTGTGAGAGTAGAGGGTTGTGGTCTTGTGTGACAGTAGAGGGTTGTGGTCTTGTGTGACAGTAGAGGGTTGTGGTCTTGTGTGACAGTAGAGGGTTGTGGTCTTGTGTGACAGTAGAGGGTTGTGGTCTTGTGTGACAGTAGAGGGTTGTGGTCGTGTGTGACAGTAGAGGGTTGTGGTCTTGTGTGACAGTAGAGGGTTGTGGTCTTGTGTGACAGTAGAGGGTTGTGGTCTTGTGTGACAGTAGAGGGTTGTGGTCTTGTGTTACAGTAGAGGGTTGTGGTCTTGTGTTACAGTAGAGGGTTGTGGTTTTGTGTGACAGTAGAGGTGCGTAGGCTTTTGAGAAATTTTATGGGGATCGTTATGGAGGTACCAGTTCCTGAGACACAGTTTAAGCAGACAAAGGCACGTTGTTGTGGAGATGAACTAATAGTGACTAGGGACATGTGAGGTATAGTTAACTATGCCACACCTTTAACCCTTATGTACGGTTGTTGATGTTTCGAGTTACAATTAGTATCGGCTCTTATTGTTACATGTGGAAGTGGCTTCCGCTACTCCTTATTTCAATGCATTCCTGTTGTCGACCATTGTTTAACCCGAATGACTGCGAATATTAATTAGGATAAAACACCCAAAACGTACTTTGGTCCTGAGGCTTCTGGTGGAGAAACTTGTATGCTGTATGGATAAAGTTTTTATATACCTCACCTTCTCGATGAATACACCTGGACAAGTCCTCCACAAACCAAGACACCTAGACAAGTCCTCCACTAATCAGGACACCTGGACAAGTCCTCCACCAACCAAGACACTTCTCGAAACAAGCTACTTCGAGAACTACTCCACGACAGGAGACACAAGACGGCACCTCCACGACGCAGATAACTTCGACTACCTCTCTTCATGTCTTGTTTTACCCATCCACTAAAATTTCGTTCGTCAACAAACAAAGGTCGAGAGATTCTTGACATTGTCCGTTTGTTTACCATTTAAAGTAACCGGATGGGTGCGCATATGTTGTGTTTCTGAGCCGATCTTTGCTCTCCCAGCTGTATTATTTTTATTTTTTATTTATACAAAGATGAAAGGTACACTTACCATCATCAAATTACCTGTTTATTGTTGGAGACTGTTGGTGGATTGTTGACGCATTTTTAGAGCTATTTAACTAATTATTTTTATTAAAATAAAATTCACATCTTTTGTTTTGGGTGTCTGGAAATACAATGTTTAAACCCCGTTTTATAACTTGAACTGTGAACAGTAAACTTTTTGAACAGTGACAATAGACGAAATATTCATAATTCGTACCTAGAGAGTAAGAAAACGTGTTTGAAAATGAATAATAGTGAGAAAATAGAAATTTAGTGTAAAAGTAATAGAAAATTGGAATTACCAAAAGGTGGCAGTAGATGCCAATTTTATCCACTATTTTAAAAGTAGAAATGATAGGAGAAATTTCGGTCACAAATCATAGTTGAAACTCGACCGTGCATGAATAAATAAGGAGAATATATACACACGCCAGCGCCCATGGGAGTAGACCCACCGACCACACGACCAGAAGTCAATCGCCAGGAACCACCGTACCAAAACATTCCGCCTCTGACTTCTGCTTCCGAACCCTTGGACCCACAAAGTGAGCAGGAGAAGGTCTGTGAGTTATGACACGTAATTGCGGGGGGGGGGGGTCCGCGTGACAGGAGGATTCGATCCCTAATGCCTCCTGTCATTAGGGTTCCAACGACACACACACACACACTCCCAGGCAATTAGAGAATGGCCCGTGTGACTTGAGTATTGCTGCGAGGAGCGTGTTTTACTCCCACATACTCCAATGTTTTATGACTTTATGGACTCATTCTCTTCCTTTGGTTATTTGTGGCTGAATTATAATTGCTTCACACTTGCTAGCTCGGGAATGCAATGCGAGAATCGACGTTGGTTACTTGTTTCTGAAGCTGACACCACATGCTAGGCGGTCATTACGCTAATGCATGTAGACAATTTTGCTGGGACAGAACATACATTTATATATAAATCGTTTATTATGTGTGAAATGACGTAGCTTATTTATTGCGCAGGTTAATGTTAGAAGGGCGTAGGTACGTGTTTTATTTGTGCCTGAGTGTATTAATATATGCGTGGAAGCAGGACTGTATATATATGAGGGTTTGAGAGCAATCGCCTGGTTTTTTTTTTATTATTTGCATGTATGAACGTCAGTACGTACGAATATATATATACAATCATATCTGTATGAAGTTATCCATGCAAGCAAGTTTGTATGTATAAATATCCTCTTGTCTGTTAGAATGTTAAACAGAAGCTACGTTACAGCTTAATTCTACCATTTGACATCTTAATATTTCATAAATTAAAGACTGATACGTGGGAGGGTGAAATGAAATGTTTAAGTTGCTTATAAACATATAAATGAGTACAAACCTCATCATTCAGTATTTGCGAGTCACTCAACTTGCCTCAGCATCACCAAACTCTTCATAATTCATCACTTGGTCTGGTCGGTACAACAACGAAGGTGTCCCTTCGTTTGGTCGGCGTTCGATCCCCATCTGTCCCATTGCCTGGGCACCATTCCATCAATCAGTCATATCCCATATCCTTATTCTCATATCCCTTCAAAGTGTTATATAGTCGTACTGCTTTAAAGCTTTCACCTGATGACTACCTTCCCACCTCAGCACTCTTCAGCCTGACACACCTCTGGAACTAGTGAGGTAAAACAGCCTAGAGCAGCTTGTGTTTGGGGTCTGACTCACTAGCCCACACGTCAACAGTCATAAACATGCAGTTCTTTCCAGGTTCCACCTTTACCATAGTAGTATTCCAATTCTACCTCTCCACTTAGCTGGTTTGTCATCTGGTA